GTATTGGTGGTGTAGTTGTAGATAACATGCCAGCTCACCCCTAAATGCTCTCCTAGGAATGAGGGTCCCCTTTGTAACCACTTACACACCTGAGAACATTGTCATTCCCTCATGTCATCTAATGTGCAGGCTATTTAATTTCTCAGGTTGTCGCTAAAATACCTTCCTTAACTATTCGTTCACCTCCCTGCACCCGGATGCAGTCAAGGTCATGTGGCACGTCTGTTTTATGTGTTTCTTTGGTTTCTTAATCATAAACCGTCCTCACTTCTTTCCTGCATAACATTACCTTCCTAAAGTGCCCAGGCCAGTGTTCTTATGGAGCATCCAATGGTCTGAATTTGTCTGATTGTGTCTTCAGGGTGGTATTTGATTTTTTCCACAGTCCCCCTCATCTTCTGTAAACTGGAGGATGGGGCCAGCCAGAGGCATCGTTGATTCAGGTGAACATGTTTGCCAAAATTACCATGTAGGTGACTGTCTTTCATATTCTGTCACGTTAAGCAGACACATAGTAGCAGGTTACAGGTTTTTTTCTCGCTAAATAAAAAAAATTGTCCATTTAACTCACATTTCAAGTAGTACATTATAGAATTGGGAGCCAGTGAGAACCCGGAGCTAATGACTTTGGAGGGAGCTTTGCCTTGATCCCCTAACCAGCTGCATCGGGGAGCTTTGGTTTCAGAGTTGGCCTCACTCCTGTTGCACCATTTTCCAGCCTTGTGACTTTGGAAAAACTGCCTGGTCTCTCAGGGCCCCCTTCCATCATCTGTAAAATGGTAATTAATAATGATGAAATTGTTAGTGAGCGCTGAATGAGATAATTCCTGGCACCTGTCTGTACTTGTCTGTTGGCTCTCATTATTTTTGTGGGCCTTCTGGAAAGTAAGGAGGCAGGTGAGTGCAGGTGAGGCAGAAGGGTGCAGTGGGCAAGGTCTAGGACGTCTAGCAGAGCGGCATGTCCTTGATGGCGTGTAGCACGTGGTTGGGTGCAATCCTCGGCCACACTGCCGGCGTCCCCCGATCAGGAAGGGCCCCCAGAATCTGTCTCAGGCCATCAGAAAGTGGTGAGGGCACTTTATCCAGCTCCTTCTGCAGCCTGAGCACCGGCCGTCTCTCAGCTGAGGCTGTTCAAGTTAGCTCCTTCAACACTAGCTTTGCCAGGTGGTCTCCCCTTCAGCTGACATGCTGTTTCTCTGTATTTCTGATACTAGGAGACTGGCTGAGTCCTCTTAGTACATGGTGGGGTTGATGAGTTCAGTTCTTCAGATATTTTAGTCTAACAGACTCTTGACTGGAAATAGTTGATACTATCATGCTTGACAAGGAGGTTATCAAAATTGTATTCAGCTAGTCCTCCTAAATTCCTGTGCTCTGTCTGGACAAAGCCTCTGGCTGTGAGCTGTGGCTTGGGAGACAAGCTGGTTGACTGCTTCCAGCCAAGGATCTCCAGGAGTCTGTAACTGGAAATACTGATTGGAATAGTTCATCTAATCTGGGCATTTGCCTATAAAACCAGAATGGCATGAACTTGAAGATAAAAGGTTACACTTATCTTTAGTTAGGAGTATTTTAAATCAACTAAAAATGGATTAGAGATCCAAATGTAAGAATCATGAAACTATAGAAGAATAAAACAAGGGTAAATTCCTTTATAACCCAGAAGTAGGGAAAAACTTTTAATTTTTTTTTTCAACGTTTTTTATTTTTATTTTTGGGACAGAGAGAGACAGAGCATGAACGGGGGAGGGGCAGAGAGAGAGGGAGACACAGAATCGGAAACAGGCTCCAGGCTTCGAGCCATCAGCCCAGAGCCTGACGCGGGGCTCGAACTCACGGACCGCGAGATCGTGACCTGGCTGAAGTCAGACGCTTAACCGACTGCGCCACCCAGGCGCCCCGGGAAAAACTTTTAAACTAGGACTTAAATCCCAGAAACAAGGATAGTAAATTTGATGACATTAAATCTAAAAAGCGTTAAACTTTACACTGGAAAAATATACCATAAACAAAAAATGGTAAACTGGAGGAAATATTTGTAATGTATTGCAGATGAAGTATTTTTAAAAGATACCAGAAATTGTAAAGGCAAAAGTTGTGAACAGATCACAGAAGAGTTATATAATGGTCCTTCTCCACTGGAAATGATAAGTTGGTTTATTATAACAGAATATAAACTAAAGCTACCCTGAGATAACCATTTCTCACCTTTGTCAGATTCACAAAAAATAAAAATTTTGATTAGCTACTCTGATAGCAAGACCGTGGGGAGAACAGGCATTCTTAATACATTGCTGTCAGGAGTTCAACCTTTATAACAAAGAAGAATTTTACAGTATCTAGAGTACATGTGCATTTACCATTTGATCCAGCAATCCTCCTTCTAGAAACTTACTCTTAAGATACACTCTCATAAATGCAAAATAATACACAAAAAGTGATTTATTGCTGTATAATTTGTAATGGCAAAATATTTAACACTTAAATGTCCATCTGTAGGAGACTGGCTGCTATCTGTACCTCACACAGTATGATCCCAAGCAGCCCTGAAAAGAATGGGAAAGATCTCTGTTAACTGGTATAGAGTAAGTTCCAGGATATATTGAAAAAACAAGCTGCAGAAAAGTGTGTGTGAGTGTATGTATGAAGGAGTAAGGGTAAGTTAGGAATTAATGAAAACGGTTAACTATAGTGAGTTAGGTGGGAAGGGGGTGGAGGGGTTAGGGATGGGAGTGAGACTTTTCTGGTATATCTCCCTATATGATTTGATTTTTAAACTGTACAAATGTTCAACATAGTCAAAACATAAAATCAAAAACGAAGAAAAGCAAACCTAAAATTGAATTATAGAAAGAGGTGAGCTATATGTCAGATTGCTAACCACATAGAAAAGAATTCATTCACAGACTTTAGAACACAGTACTTTACATTCCGTGATTGGGGTGTATCCTAAGCACAAAGTAAAGAGAAATCTTAATAATCTTAATAGTCTTGTTCATAGTGACACGTAATTACATAGATGTGTAATTCTTGGACTGTGCTGTATGATGTTATATAGGGTAAGACAAACGAATGGTATGTTGATAATGATGGAGAATCAGGACACTTGGTGTAAGAAAAGGAAAGATACAAATATGGAAAGAAAGAAGGTAATCCAGGGGTATTGGGCTGAACTATAGGTATCATGACCCCATAATTCAAAAATGAATTGTAGCTCTGTTTACTAACTAAATGTCCGCTCAGTGACAGTGAGCCCACCTGGTGCTCAATCTTGGTTTCTAAATGCCATTCTCCACTAAAATGGACCTGGGCTTCCTAAAGTAGTGGTTGACTCAAAGGCCAGGGCTGAAAAAAGTGCACATTGACCCTGGAGCATTTTGTGCCAGAAAGCAAAAAACTGCTTAAAGAATAAGGGGTGGAGGTCAGGGCGTTGGGGGGTGTAGGGGGAGAGTCAACTTCATAAAGAAGGAGAACCTGCTTGAGCAGGTTCTTTGGGCAAGTTTGGGACAGTACATTAAAAAGAATGGTCATGGAAGTGAATTGTAAAACTGAATTTGAAAGGAATTCATTCACGCACCTGCAATGATGTTCAAAAAAGAAAAAGATAAAGTTGGACAAAAAAGGCAAGCTCCTCTTTACAAAAGGCCACTAATTAAATACAGATGGAATGATCAAATTGAAAAATTGTAATTTTTAAGCCCACTATGTAAGAATGTTCATAAGCTAGTGGGAATATAATATTCACACAGCCTAAGAATCATGCGATAGATTCTTAATTACAACAGGAAAAAGGTCCCACCTTGTGGGACAGCACCCAGCACCCAGGCAGTGTCCTTTCGGGAAGTGTCTGGCCTGGCTCTAAGCCTGACACAAGACTACCAAATGCAGTATAGGAACTCTGATTGGATTTGGGGGAGCAGGAGCAGGTATGAGCATTATTTATAAACAGATAAATTTAAATATGGTCTGAATATTAGATAACATTGTTAAGTTAATGTCCTTGGGTATGATATGGGAAAGCGATGATGCAGGAGCGTATGTTTATCCTTAGGAAATGGGAGCTACTTTCCGGATAGTTTAGTTGATAGAACATATATACATATGGGAAACAATAGGAAAATGTTACCAGTTAAAGAGTTTCTTGTGACATACTGTGGCTTGCTTTTCCTTAAGGCACTTAGGATAAACATTCCTGATGGCAGATTCAGTTTTGAAACTATAGTTCTTTGAAGCCAAACCTGCTCTATGTTTCTCAGAGATTATTGTTTTAAAATCATGCTGCCGTTTAGACTCGAGTAAATATTTATTTCACAACAAAAGGTTTTGTACCAACTTGATAGCTTTCTTGGTAGACCAAGGAAGTCAGCCAGATTCTTAGCGTACTTACTGTATAGATGAACTGTTTTATTTTATTCATTTTCCCTAAATGATTCAGTTCTGGGAAGATAACGTTTCTTACCTTTGAGGTGCTGTTTGTAGGGCCCACCTGCCCTTGTAAGCTTTTTAAGGACTTTTCTCCTGATGACACCAAGGAGGACTGCTAGCCCCTGGGACCTTGGGGAAGTTGTCTGGTTTTGTCTGGAAAATTCACATGTACACTTTACTCCCTGTTCTCTCTGCCTAGTGCTTTTTATCATAAAGAAAGAAAGAGAGAAAGAGAGGAAAGAAAGAAAGAAAGAAAGAAAGAAAGAGAAAGAAAGAGAGAAAGTTCTTTCCCTAATTTGCAGTTAAAATCAACATGACAGAAAGACTTCTTATTTTTAGTCTAATAAAATTCTTCTCAAAGAATAACATTTGTCAATAGCACCTTTAATCCATTAATTAATTGTTAAGTGAAAGTTGGTGCCGGGGACACCATGGTGATGGGTAAAAGGGCCTGGTTCCCACGGTCAGGGCAGTTCCGCCACTTTGGGAGATGGGCGGGTCCACACACAGATAGCTTCGGTGCTGTGAAGGGGGCCACCGAGGCTGACGTGCGGAGACCTGGCCCGGGCCGGCAGGTCCCTGGAGCTGACATGACACCACAGCGTGAGCGAGTCTGGAAGCATGGACCACAGACGGTATGGCTACAGGCTGCCAGAGTGCCTTCTGGTGACGTTTTGGGATTAAGGTCAGCTTTCCCAGTTCCCCCAAGGTGGTCCTCTCCGAGCAAGGTCGCTTTTGCCTGTGGGCGCCAGCTGGGGCACGTGCCCTTGGTCCACTCTGACCTTCAGTACGGCAGTGCTGCCCACAGTCAAGCTGCAGTTCTCTGAGGACTCCTGGGGCTGCTCTGTGGCTCTGGTGTGTGCCTGCTCTTCTCTCTGCCTGCGCTCCTCACAGCCCCTGCCGTGTGTGGTGTGGCGCTTCCTGCCCCTTAGGTAGGTGACGGCCCCTGCAGATGCCTGCCTCAGTGACCTGCCCCATCGGCACCACCACCTCCGTGTGTGGCCATGTCTAGCTGTCCTCCTTCACATGGCAGAAACCTGTCGGCAGCCCAGGGTAGTTTTTTTTGTCGTTGCAGAATGGTAGATCCCTTCCTCTGGCCCAGGGGTTGTCCGTCTTCGAGGTGCCTGGTGCCTCAGCGTCGCCCACAAGTGATTATGCAGGGTGCAGGGTGCAGGCCCCATCCGAGACTCTGATTAACCAGGACTGGGTAAGATGCAGAAGTCTCCATTTTTAACCAGCACCCCTGAAGCAGCTTCTTGGCAACTTGTGGAGTGACTTGTGGAAATCACGGCCAGAAAGTCCTGAGTTGTAAGGGGAACACATTACAAATCCAAAGGAGATCCCGGAGCATTTTCTGGATGAGGTGGTGTGGCCTCTGTGCCTTAATGATGAATAAACATTGAACATCGGAAGTGAGTTGATGACTGAGCGGAGAGCAAAGGCTCCGAGGCAAGAATCTGGAGTGCAGGTCTGTGAAGGGGCTGGTGAGGAAGAGCTGGGGGCCCAGGGCTCTGGTCTTCTGGGCTCAGAGGAGGAAATGGGACGCCTCCAGCAGAGTTTTGAAGAAAGGAAGTCTTGTCTGGGACTGGTTAGGTTTTTCTCCATCCTGGGGCCAGAGCCTGACATGGGAATGTGTCACAACAGAAGTGTCTGTCTGCTCACATTTTTTCTTACTAACCTCTAGTGATCTTGTTAACCTTAAAAACTCATCTGCAAAAACCCACCACCTCTCTTCCGTATTTAAGATCTACTTTCCCTATAGAAGAGGGTGGCAAACTTTTTCTGTAAAGGGATAAGCAATAAATATTTGGGGCTCTGTCGTCTTTGTTGTGACCTCTGGATTGCACATCGTAGCCCCACAGCAGCCGCAGACAGTCGGCGGATGGAGAGGCTGTGTCCCAGTGAAACCTTACAAAGACGAGTCATATGCCAGACTTGGTTCACGGTCCAGTTTGTCAGCTCCTGGTGTAAAGAAAGGCACAGCTGAATCCTTTCTAGTTGTCGGGACAAAATTAAAAGAACAGGCAGTCTTGTCTACATGGAGAGCCCAGGGACCCGAGGTACAGGAAGGAGAGCCCTGGGGTTGATCAGTTGCACACTGGGGAAGGGCTGGAAAAAGCTGCTTTATCAGATGAGAATATCTAGTGCTTTATCGTCCTCAGCCTTTTTCTTGGAAAATTGGCTTTGTATTTAGGGAAGTTCTTATTTGGTGAAATAATAGCTCTTGTCACCACTTTCCCTAAGAAAATTTCTGTCAAGCCACTGATTGACTCTGCTAGTTGTGGAGACCACCCTTAACTTCTGGGGCACTTCTGCTCCTTCCTGTACAGCGGCCGCTTGTCCTCCGGCCAGTACTGCTTGTGGCGGTCAGCGTGTGTGTGGCTGAACGGGAACGTGTAAGCTGGCATGTGCAGCCCCTTTGCAGATCATTTTGGGAGACTTCGAGACAGCACATGTGGGAATTTTCTGTTATCACCTACTTTCAAAGGAATTCAGGATCCTGGTTGTTTGAAATGAGTGAGCTTCTTTGCAGCTGTGTTCTCAGGACCTTTGGTCATGGTTAAGCCATAAAATGTTTGCCCCGTAAGGTGCCCAGACTGAGGTCAAGAGCAGTTCACGTCACTGGGGGTGGAACCCAGAGCCAGTCTTCACTTTACCAGTGAGCCACCAGTGTGGTGTCGATTGCAGCGTTCCTAGGCCGAGATCTCGGAATGCAACCCACGTTACGTGGCCCTAGGATGTGTTGCTGGAAATCTGAAATGACAGTAAAGCAGATGTTATTTGGGCCATTTGAGAAGGCATCCATTCCTGATTAGTGGGGACCACCCTTTGCCCTTTCAAGACATTTCTGAAAAGTTATGCTCCAGGAGTATTTGTGAATCAGAGTTTCCCTCGTGGCATACGTTCCCACGTTAGATGACTTTCATGTCCACTTTTGATGGTACTGTGCTCTGGGCCCCTCTGACAGGTAACTATAAATGGATGGTTGGTAGAGGGTGTGCCCACGTGAGAAACCACCAGCAATGCATCTGGTCTATACTGTGCAGCCTGTCTCTGCGCTCTAAAGCTAGCATCATGCCTACTCTTGGTTGATTTCATTGCATGATTAAAATGGCCAGAAGAACAAAAGAATCTTGACCCGTGTCTGGCACAGAGTGGTCTGTGCTGGCCCTGGGCTGGTAACATGGCTGCTTCCCACTAGAGCCACCTTCTCTTAGTCCACTTCCTGTTCCAGGTGGGGCAGGATATGCCATCAGAGCACTGAGGGGCACGTGCTGGGTTCCCGTCCACTGTCCAGGACGCTGGTACCAGGTGGTTTGGGGGTATTTCAGAAAGATCTGGACATCTGAGAGTTCCCAGCCCTGCAAACAGAAGGAGCCAGTTTTATATTTTACCCTGAAAATAATGTTAAAAATAGCAAATAGATATCAAGGTTTCATGTTAGCTCATAAAGCTATCTTTATACAACTGTAGCTGAAATGCTGTACATTTAAAAAAAAAAAAAAAGCAAAATCTCCTGAATTTGAATAGCTCAGGTGTTCAGAAAGTCAACATGAAATATCAAATGGTGAAACAAAATGATGGGCTTGTGGCGAGTCGTTGTTCAACCGGATTGGTCACGATCTCGCTGGTCCGTGTGAGTTTGAGCCCCGCGTCGGGCTCTGGGCTGATGGCTCGGAGCCTGGAGCCTGTTTCCGATTCTGGGTCTCCCTCTCTCTCTGCCCCTACCCCATTCATGCTCTGTCTCTCTCTGTCCCAAAAATAAATAAAAAACGTTGAAAAAAAAAATTAAAAAATAAATAAATAAATAAAATGTAATTGAATGGTGACATTTGAGGATTGTAGGCAGGGGATTTAACAGAGAGTCCACATGCTTTTTTTTATGATTGAGCAGAATATCTTGTCTACTGTTGATCTGTAACGTACAGCTTTCCTTTCCCCATAGCTCTAGATCACTAACACGATTATGATGCCTGTCCTCTAGGATTGAGGGCAGCCTCTGACTTACAAAATGGAGTGACGGGGGAGATAGATTTTTTTTCCCTGTGCTAACCAATAAGAATGTGAAAGGGAGGAGGAGGAGGGTCGTAAAGTGGAAGACACACACCGATATTTCAGAAGGAGCTCACAAGCTCAGTAGGAAAGCGAGATGCCCAAATGCCCAACACCCCCCACCCCCAAAGGGAAAGGTGGTGATGGCAGGGGCTGGTGGAGGGGTGCAGGGCTCCCCCAGGGCCCATGCTGGGGCTGTCTGTGGGGAGAGCAGTGGGAGGGGAAGACGGAGAAGCCGGGGGCCCGGCTGTGTGGCGGAGGAGATCTTTGCAGACCGGGGCTCGCTCTTCGGCGTGTGCCTGCATTTACTCATGTGCTGTTTGTCTATGGAAAAGACTGTTAAGCTGTCAAATCGTGAACTACCTCGGTAGTTCCTGATGCCGTGATCATGGTTTTGGTCTCGTTTCTTTTAGGTTACCCCTGTTTCAGGCCAGTGCTTTTGCATTTCTGGCCCCTGCTCGAGCCATCCTGTCTTTAGATAAATGGAAATGTAACACCACAGGTAATTGCAGTTATTTCCGCATACGTCATTGGGGTCCTTTAACGCACGCGATAGAAGGGAGGCCTGGACGTGCTGCCCTTGGCAGCGTTAAATCCTTTCTGGAATCGGGCAGAGAACATACAAACCAACAAACCGCTTAGAACACTCCAGTCTGTGGATCGTGTTTCTGTCTCTCTCTCTCCCCACTCGTTCATCCCTAACCTCAGAGCAAGTAAGGACCAGAAAGGACCTCATTTCTCTATGCTAATGAAACTGATAAATATGGGAACGGAATAGAACATTTGTGCTATTTTTCTGCCTCTTTCTTTCAGTGGATTTTATGAACCACCAGTAATCACTCTCTTTGCTGCGTCAGCATCCCTTCTCTGAAACATCTCTGCTTTTTAAGGATCTGGCTGCTTTGGTTTTCTGCAAATGACTTTAACTCTCCCCCCCCCCCCCCCATTAGTGATTGCAAAGATCCTTAAATAACCCGATGAGGTCAGGAAAAGATCAGATGGAGGTTTAAGAAAATCAAGTAGACCTGTCATACTTTCAAAATACTGTTAGGTTCTAGGAGCAAAGTTTTCCAACATTTGCTTCCCATTTACTCCCAGGAGTTAGTTTGTGACCACTGATTTGATTCAGGAACTGGAAAAGGCCCTCCATTTTATCTAGGTTTTAAAAACCTCAGGCAACCTTGCTTTTGGGCGTTTCCGTTAGCTGCTCGCAAAGGTTGGTCTTTGTGTGAGGCTGGCACTAGCAATGTGCACCCCCAGTTCAGCTTTTGACAAGCTGGGAGCTCGCAGTCGATGAATAAATTTGGTTACATTTAGCGTTGGGGAAGACACCTTTCAGTATGGTAAGCCATACTGTTGTAACTCGAATTTTAGGGATGGGTGTTTTATGGAAAATAAAACTTAAAACAGGGAGGAAATTTCATCTTACAAAGAGTAAGATGAATGTATCCCGTGAAACATGGGTGTCACTCCAAAAAAATGTTGTCTTTGTTTTTGTTTTCAAGATGTTTCAGTGTCCAATGGAACAACAGAGCTGTTGCACACAGAGCACATCTGGTATCCCCGGATACGTGAGGTAAAAGAGGAGCATTGTCTGCTTTTGGCTTCTTTGTGTTTCTTTCCTGCTCCATTGTTGGCCGTGCCCAAGAAGTGGTAGTGATGGGCACCAAGCCTTCCTTTTCCTTTTCAACTACTGACATGTTTATTTCTTTTGTGAAACTAAATGTAGATGGCATCACCATAAAATAAAGCACGCAGAAATGCTTTGTACAGCCAGACAGTATTTCTGTCAGAAGTTTCTAGCCTTCATTCCCCCCCGCCCCCCAACCCCTGGGTACCCACAGACCTGCCCACTCACACGCTGCAGCATAACTGGCTGAGGGGCGTGGCTCCCTTAGAAAGAGCTACAGAGGCTTGCCTGAGGGCACACACCTCTTCATTCTAGCCCGCATTTCCGTGTGTGTGTGTGTGTGTGTGTGTGTGTGTGTGTGTGTGTGTGTAAAGAATTACAGATACTTGTCCGCTGTGGTGCACTTGAACAGAACAAGGCATGGGAGTCCTCAGACACGAAGAATGGCCAACAACTTATCCACATCTTCCCAAATCTGGAAGATCCTTCACCATTAGTTCAGAGTTAGCACAGATAATAGTCGTTTTCCACAATAGAAACATTCCTTTAGAATTTGTGTCGATAACACGATCTTCTAAACGTCCCTCAGAGACTCACATTTTAAAGTCCAGAATCTTTGTGCCACAGTGTTCCTCTGAGCCTGGTTTTGAATGTTGTGTGTCTTGAGCAGGAATGATAAATCTCTCACTTCTCCATGGGAGAGGTAGAGTGGCTATACGTCCATTTCCTGTTTCTGTAATGCCCCTGTGTCAACCATGTCATTCATAGGTTGGCTAGACCCCGCTCACCCCACTGGTTTCTTTGGGGCCCTGGGAATTTTCCAGCAGTGTCACACTTGTTAGGTAATAAGCCGCTGCCTGTCAGAACTGTCCACTGTGGTTGCAGGTGACGCTTGGAGTCTGGATCTACAAGCAGCTCACTCTTCGTGTCTGTGCCTTCTCTCGTTCCAGATCCAAGGCGCCATCATCATGTCCTCGCTGATAGAAGTGGTCATCGGCCTCCTGGGCCTGCCCGGGGCTCTGCTGAAATACATCGGGCCCCTGACCATCACGCCTACGGTGGCCCTCATCGGGCTGTCTGGGTTCCAGGCGGCAGGAGAGAGAGCGGGGAAGCACTGGGGCATCGCCATGCTGTGAGTGCTCTGGACTACGTAGCACAGACTGTCAGCACCTCCTCTTCCCACCACCAAGTGCAGTCTCTTGGGATAGTTTGAGCATTTACGCGAAGACTTAGGAGATAGGTTTTGTTTTTATTTTTGTTTTTTTTAAAGTAAGAAGAGGCTGACGGTTTAAAGTTCATTCATTTCTTGCCAGGAAGTTACCGAAGGGTGTTTTAGACCCAGAGGTTGGGAAGTGACATGCAGCACGGTATTCCAAAGACCTGTTTGGGAGTGATGTGCAGAGGGAGGGTTGTGAGGTTTCAGACTTTAAGAAGGGGGTGTAAGACGGTGATGCCATTAGCTTTTAACTTTTGAGGTCATGCCAAGTCTCTTGCACACGAGTGGAAATACCGCGAAGCCAAATCCTTTCGGCGAGACTCAAAAAAACTTCCAGATTGGCAGGAGACAGAGATGCTGCACGAGTAGAGTCTGTTGGCATTGAGAGAGACGTGGCTCCCCTGGCTCCCTCCTACACCTGTGGGGATGCCATGGTTCTTGCCAGAGTCCTGCCAGTCATTGCTGGTCCTTAAGCACAGAACTTCAAGTTCATTAAAATGTCACTTACCCCTTTATGTGTTGTCAGTAAAGACATCCAAGACTTCGGTTTATTACAAGATGGATTATTAGAGCCATGGAATTCTGTATGCCACAAACAGAGCCTGCTTTCTTGTTGTGTGCCTGGTGAACACATGTAAGAGCTGATCACACTATAGGGAAATGGTTCAAAACCTGGCATTTGCCAACCAGTACAGTTCCCAAAACAAAGTAAGTAATAACAGAAGGGAGTTTCCGCTGGTTTTTGTTTTGCTTTGTGAACTACTCGGTAATTCTTAAACAGTAGCTAGCGCTTCTCCAGCTCCTGCATTAGTGCTTTATAAAAACACTCGTCGTATATATTGTACGTTAAGATAGGTGCCGGCATCGTGCCCATTTAACAGCAAAAGAAGCAGAGGCACAAAGACGCAAAGTTAGCTGCCCAGGTTCGCACAGGTAGTAATTGGCTGGATGGTTTTCAGAACCCAAGTAGTCTGGTCAGAACTTAGTCCCTAACACTTCATCCTGCCCGTCTGTGTTGGAACACGGTGTGCAAGTTAAAGTGCATCTTTACGTACCTATAATCCATCTAGCCTTACAGATTAAGGTGTGTGAAAATGTCCAGGGCTATTCTTCATTTCTCCTTTCACTGAAGGTTGGTCCATATTCCCCACACCAGCATGGGTGTGTAGAAGGCAGGGAAGGATGTCCTATGAAACGCAGTAAGTTCCAAGAAGGAGAAATTGGAATTGCCATCATACGGTGAAATTAGAAACCAGTGACAAAGGGTGAACAGAACCCCCAGATCGCCTAGGAGCTGAAAAACACTGTTGTAAATCACCCCTAGTCAGAGGGGAAATTGAAACTCATGATTGCTGATAATTTAGAACACGAGGACAAGAACAAACCAGTCACACAGAGCGGAGTTGTTCTTGAAAAAAACATACAATCTTAAAGGCAAAGTACATGAAGAGCTTATGTCTTTGAAACTAGAAAAATAGGATGAAAATGAGCCTAATGGAAGCAGGGGACCAAAAATTAATACAGATAGAAAAAATGTAAAACATAGAAGTGAAAAATTCAAATATTGGTTCTGTGGAAAAGAGCGTGTGGACACACTTCAGGCGAGGCTGATTGAGAAGAGGAGGGAGTGAGTGCACAAATAGAGGGATAAACCCTTAGGTCCAGGGAAGAAGAGTTCCAGCTGTGCTACCCGCCCCCAAACTTAAAAACAACAACAAATTAATAAAATGGGTGGTTTTCCAAAACGTGAAAACAAAAATGGACTCTTCCTCACCCTGAGCGCTAAATGTTGGGGTTCCCCAGAACCTGGTCCTTGGGCACTTCCCTGCCACGTGCCTTTCCCCAGGAAGACCTCGTCTAGTGCACGGCCCCAGCAAGCCTGTGATGCTGCTGACTTCCATGTGAGCCTGCAGCCCATACCCCTGAACACCAGCCATGAGGGCCAAACCCTGGTTCGCACCCTCCAGTCACCGTTACACAGGACTCTTCAGACTTCAAAAGGAGATAGTGTCAATCGTTTGCTTCCTTCCTTGTCCCCAAACCCAGTCCCCTCCTGTCATCCTGCTCTCAGGCAAGGCCACGACCACACACCCCGCTGATGGAGTCAGAAGCCCTACAGTTGTCCCTGATTCTTTGCTTCCCCTCAGCTCATGTACAAGCCATCTTTCTGCCTTCTCTCTCCAGCCTGTCACGCCACTGCCACTCCCCTGGACAAGCCTCACCCGTGGCCATGCTTCCAAACGTCTCCACCTTCTCTCTTGCTCCCTCCCTGCTCATTCACAGCCCCGTGAAGTCCCTGGCCATTCTCCTCTCCTGTCTCCTCCTTTTGAAACTCCACTTGGACACAAGCAGGAATTCTGGAAGTTTGTAGGTCTTCTTGTCTATGTCTGAAACCTTCTCCGCTGTCCCTCATTCTGTTTACATCTCACACTAGGCACTTGGGGCCTTTCGCTGTTGGAATCTCCGACGTTTGGGGGTGGGAAATGATTGAATTATTTCACGGATGCTTTCCTTACTCCATTCTAGCTCTTCGCTTCCTGGAACCTCTAGAGTGTTTGGACCTCCCAAATCCTTCCTCTGCTTTCCATTTCTCCAGCTTTTTTCTCCATTCATGGGAAAATTCCTCAGCTGTATCTGTACATCCTTCTGCCAAGCTTTTCCTTTCTTCTGTCAGGTTTTTTTTAGTTTCCAGCCAGCTTCTCTTATCCTTGGGATGCCAGCTATGTGAGGGCAAGGCTTCAGCTCCATGCTGGTCACTGCAGCACCCCCAGGACCTGGCTCACCACCTGTCACAGAGCAGGTGTTTAGTAAGCACCTCGTAGTAAGGGTGGGGAGGACTGGGGGTTGTGAGTACATCCGTGACCATAAGTCAAGAATGCTATCAAAGGATTTTATCCCTAAAAAAAGTTCTGGGCTCCAATAGTTAGTATATTATATTTCAAGGAAGAGAGAATTCCTGCATCGGTTAAGTGGTTCTGGCAGTTTAAGAAATGGGAAACTTCCCAACCAAGTTGATCTCCGTGGCGGATCCTGACAGAGCTAATACAAAAGGGAGAGCCCAGACCTACGTCTTCCTCCCCAGAGTTGTGTAAAGCCCCAGGCTGAGTTCAGGTATGTTTAGGCAGTAGTATGCTAAAGCCCAGCGTCTTGCTCTACTGCAGGTCTCCTTGTGATCTTTTAAAATGCAAGTGTGCAGGGGCGCCTGGGTGGCTCAGTCGGTTGAGCGTCCGACTTCGGCTCGGGTCATGGTCTCGCGGTTCATGAGTTCGAGCCCCGCGTCGGGCTCTGTGCTGACAGCTCAGAGCCTGGAGCCTGCTTCGAATTCTGTGTCTCCCTCTCTGTGCCCCTCCCCTGCTCATGCTCTGTCTCTCTCTCTCTCTGTCTCTCTCTGTCAAAAATAAATAAACATTAAAAAAAAAAATTTTAAATGCAAGTGTGCAGAAGAAGCTTTTCGGAAAGTCTTATTATCCAGCTCTGCGCACACTATTTTTTTTTAGTGTCATATCTATTAACATATCTTGGAAGAATGCTCTTTGGAACATGGCTTGGGAAAATGCTGTTCCGGATAATAATAACAAAAATCCAACACATTAGGTGTGTCATTTTAGGAATTTAAGGATGATTAAATTTTAGAATTTATTAATAAAATTCATTATGGGCCCATGGTGGATTTAATTCACAAAAGCCAGGGTGACCAAAAGAAAAATCACTTGGGGTGCCTGGGTGGCTCAGTCAGTTAAGTCACTGACTCTTGGTTTTGGCTCTGGTCCTGATCTCACAGTTCCTAAGTTTGAGCCCCACATTGGGCTCTGCACTGAGCAGTGTGGAGTCTGCTTGGGATGCTCTCTGTTCCTCCCCTCTTTCCCAAAATAAATAAACTTTTAGAAAATAAGTGAAAAGCCCACTGAAACTAAATTATAAATGACATCTGGGAAAATATTTACAACAAATTCCATTAAAAAGGCTAATGCCCTTAATGAATACTTTCACTAACTGAAGTAGAGAGTCCTGGTGGAACAATGGAGGAAGGAGAAGATGTGAGCACCCATTTAGCCAAAATGGGAAGTACAGATCACTAAGTACAGAAAGGCTTAGCCTCCCCAGTTATTAACATGCATATTCACAGGGATTCTGTTAACAGAATGGGGTAGTGGTAGTGGATCAGAGTGTACTGACTTGGGTTCCTAAGTCAGCCAAGAGAGGCACAGTTAGATTCTCAAGGGGGAGGGTAAATGGAGTGACACATAGGTCCTGGAAGGGAGCCATTTGTTTTTGTGAAAACATTGTTTTGATTATTTATATACAGTTTCAAACCTATTCAAAAATAGAATAGTGTAATGAACACCCCAGTACCAAATACTTAAGAGAAGTCTCATTTTCTCTCTACCCCCAAAATACATTAAAATTCTAGTCATTTGAAGTTTAACAGTAATTAAACAGGGAAATCTAAAGTAAAATAATAGTTCCTGCCATCCATCCAACTGCCACCCCTCGAAAACATCTCATGAATAACTAGTAAAAAGTTAGTATTTATCCTATATGTGTAAATACAAACATATACACATTTACAGCTTCACCATTATAATTTGTTTTTCACCCTGACAGTTTGTTGGGCTCATCTCTCTAAGACAGTGTGTTTAGATCTACTTCGTTCTTTGTAAAATTGCACAGTGTTAAATAGTATGAAATATAGAATTTATTCAGCCATTCCCAATCGATACTCATGGTTGTTTAAAATATTTGCTGTTGCAAACAATACTGAAATTCATACTCTTATGTAGTGTAAGGAATGAATATTAAAATAATTGATAGTTTTTTAAATTGATGAAATTGGTAGGGACTTAAACGTATAAGACCTTGTGGGGCACCTGGGTGGCTCAGTTGGTTGAGCGTCTGACTGTTCAGCTCAGGTCATGATCTCACAGTTTGTGGCTTTGAGCCCTGCATCTGGCTCTGTGCTGACCGTTTGCTCAGAGCCTGGAGCCTGCTTCAGATTCTGTGTCTCCTTCTCTCTCTGCCCCTTCCCCGCTCACACTGTGTCTCACTCTAAAATAAAAACACGCTGTGTTTCTCTAAAATAAATAAATATTTTAAAAAATTTTTTAAATAAAAAGTATAAGATCTTGTATTTCAGTGAGTAGCAAATAGGCATTTTTGGTCTCTGGGTGGGATTATAAACTCTGCTCACTTTTATGTATTTGGCAGTTTGCATCAGGAGCTTTTTAGGGGCTCTTGTGTGGCTCAGGCAGTTAAGCGTCTGACTCTTGATTGCAGTTGGGGTCATGATCTCACAGTTCGTGAGTTCAAGCCCCGCGTCAGGTTCCACGCCACTCTCCCCTGCTTGCTCGCTCGCTTGCTCACTCTCTCTTGCGCGCGCACACGCTGTCTCTGTGTCTCTCAAATAAACTTTATTATTTTTTTTTAAAGAAACTTTTTAATAAGATATTTACTATTTGACAGCTCCGTTTTAGTCCTAGGAACTTGCCCTAAGGAGATGTGCAGACAGGTGCCAGGGAGGGGTGATCTATCACGGTTGTTTCTGTTGCTCCCAACATCATACCATATGGAAATTGTTTACCAAGATGTGTGTCCATAAGATGGAATAATAAGTAGCCACTAAGGTGCTGTTGCCGATTTCCTTCCTGTTGAGGTCGTGGCATTCGTAGGGGCTACGAGTTAGTTGGAAAGTACGTTGTGAAGTATGATTCTAGTTCAGGTCAGATGGTGACCTGTTTGTGCTCCAAGGGCAGGCAGTCTTGTGTCTCTCTCTAACCCCAGTGCCCTGGACCCAGTGATGCCCTGTAAATATCCAGGGAATGGAAGCTGTTTAGAATCTAGACCAGAATGTTACATAGTTGTTACCTGGGGTGGGATGAACAGTGATCTTCAGGCTTTTGCCTTTTTGCTTATCTGCCTTTTATAACTTTCCTTGCATAATGTTTGTAAGGTAAAAAGAAAGGTCAGCAAGCCAGTGGGTGGATAGAACCCTGGCCTGAAGACCTGCGGCTCATCTTTTCCCCTTCTGTGCTTCGCCAAGATACGTGAGCTTGGGCACGTCTCCCACCTCTGAGCCTCTGCTGCTGCCTTACTGCTGTGGGTGGGACTGCCTGCCCTGTCTGCCCCACAGGCGTATTTGAGGATAAACGTAAATTAGAAGGGTGTGGGTTTTACAGAGTCAACAAAAAGTGGAGTGTTCATCTGCTTGGTCCACTTCCATGTGCCCTGCCAGATTTGGCCTGAGATGGGCGTCCTTCCTGGAATTCGCCAGGGGTCCTCCGTCCCCTCGTAAGAATGCTTTAAAAAGTGAACACTGCGTGCAGGTGATAATAGCCAAGCAGGGTATTGCCTGAAATAATGATGATAATAGACTTGGGGCTTTTTGGAATCTCATAGTGTTCACTTCGAAATAAGTCAGCATTCTTTTGAATGTGAAAAATTTTATGTTGATCTAAGTTTAGAGTAAGCCAGTTTCAGTACTCCTTATTACCATATCATTTTTTGTTGTTAAACTTCACCATCCCCTCTCCCCAGAGAATTGGAATAACTTGGCACTGTGTATATTTCCAACCTTGGACTGGTACCGGCTCGGTGACTTTGTTTGGGCTGAGACCCCCATGTCCCTGGTGAGCAAGCACCTGGGTAAGTGGGAGAGGTAGGGGTGCGGCACAGGCCTGTTCTCCAGCTGGCTGCAGACCATGCGCCTCGTTAGGAACATGACCGTGAAGCTGCACTTGACCGGCTGTCAGCAGAGCTGATGATTCCATCTCCACAATTGGAGCTGTGCCCAGGAACAATTAAGCTGAGCTTTGACTGAGAACCCACTCTTGTGCCAACTCTCCCTCGGGTTATAAGTGAAAGAGTGCGTCCCTGTGGGTGATGAAACCCATTGTTGTACACTCCTTCATTGTGTCAGCGGTGGGAAGCCATCCCACACCTGCCACGTTTGTAGCAGACGGATGAGGACGTGTTGGGTCCTGCTGCAGGGGAGTCAGCTGATGGTGCTGCCTCCTGTGGTCCTCACTGCAGCTCGGTCAGGAGTGTGGGGCTTAAGGTAGAGAGACTTCTGAGCACACCCCGGCATCCCTGCCCTTATGGCAAAGTATTGCGACAAAGCAGTTCAGAGCCCAGGCTGTAGAGCTAGACCTCCTGCCCCGCCTCCTCCCACCCTGCAAACTCTGGCTGCATGATCTTGGACAATGGTGGCTCTGTCTGGGAAGTGGACTGTCCTCGAAGCCACCGCTGCAGAAGGCTGAGATGATGGGCAGGATGACCTTCACGTAACGCCTGACGCAGACCTCTTGGGAGCATTGTTATTAATATTGAAATCTGTATGTAGCCTTCTTAAATATTGGAGTTTTTGCTTTTTAAAAGCAGTTTATGCTCTTGACACGTGAATCAAAAAATACAGAAAAGTAGAAAAAAGGTCTCAAAACATATTGCCACCTGTGGTCAGTCCCTGTGCGCATCTTGGACCCTGTCCTCCTTACCTGTGTGCACGCCTGCGTGCGTGTATGTGCATGTGCAGCACTTGCTTGTTTTTTCAGTTCTTAGTTGTGATTTTAGTGTACGTTGTGTTGCAGATGGTATCTTTTTTCCCTTACGCGGTGTGAGCATTTGGCAGGAGTGTGCGCATTCTTTGGGTTTTCTTGTTCTCCAAGGAAAAGTTAGCCCAAGTATTTATATGGCAATTTTATTTAGTATCAAGAAATGCTAAGAACTAATATTTTTTCAAAAATCGCATTTCCAAAAGCTATGATTTCCCAAAGAACAGTTAAGAGGACTAGCAGCTTTGTAGAGAAATCAACTCAACACACATGGTTAGTTTTGCCCTTGCAGCTCTGAGTATTATTTTAAAACACAGACATACAGCCTTTAACCTAATTTATTTTCTCTCTCTCTCTCGTCAGGACAATTTTCCTAGTATTACTATTTTCGCAGTATGCCAGGAACGTGAAGTTTCCTCTCCCAATTTACAAATCCAAGAAAGGATGGACTGCATACAAGTTACAGCTTTTCAAAATGTTCCCTGTGAGTAGTCGCTTTCTTTTTTTCCCTTGACAATATTGCCTTTGTTTACGTGAAAGGAAGTTTTAAGCTGGTCTTTCTGGGGGAACTATGGGTGGCAACATCAGGGTACTAAGGCCCACCAAATTGGCATGGACTTGAGTTTAACAGCAGTAGAAGGTTCTGAATCTGCAGTCCTTTCAGGCACGTGCAGGAGGACACAGTTCTTGAGACGGAGGGCGATCTGTGTTCCCGTGGCTTCTTCAAGCACATTGTCCATTACTCTTATTTTCTAGCCAGACTTGGGGTTAAAATAACTCTTTCCTACATAAAAGTGCTCTCTCTGAATGAGATTCCACTCAAGTAATAGGCTTCCAGCAGATCTGTGACGTGTTTTTTCTGCCAAGTATGGACGATGGTGGAAGCTATGGGGTCTGATACTCAGCCTCTAGGAAGGTGTGTGTTTTGCCAGCATCCACCACCTCTGTTGGCCTCATGGAGCTTTTCCCTTGGACCACTTTAGATCATCCTGGCCATCCTCGTGTCCTGGCTGCTGTGCTTCATCTTCACAGTGACAGATGTCTTCCCTCCTGACAGCACAAAGTATGGCTTCTACGCTCGAACGGATGCCAGGCAGGGCGTGCTTCTGGTAGCCCCGTGGTTTAAGGTCCCGTACCCGTGTAAGTATTCTGGTGACAGGGGAAGAGCAGGTCAGGAGCTCACGAGGGTCCCACTTAGAGGAGCTGGGAGATGGCAGAAGGCTCTGCAGCTTAAAAAGCCTTCTTTGTTCTAGGAGGTCCCACGAAGGGCTTACTGGTAGGAGGCTTTGACAGTGAAAGATGGGAGGCACTGTCCCCAGAGGCTGTAGTTAGCACACAGAGACTAACCAGCTCCCTTCTCAGATTATCTAGTCCTTTTGGTTCCACTGGGATGTAATCCTGGACAAGGGGTCTCTTGTCAGGTTTGAAGAAGGCAAGTATCAAGCTGCATAGTAACTAAGCCGCCAAAACTGAGCAGAAGGAGCCTGAAGATTAGCAAGCCGACTGCTCGAGCATGATGGGATTTGTGTAATCTTTTAATGGGTAGCTATAATCTTTGTTTTTTATTTGGTCACAGCTGTCAGAAGTAAACTGATATTCACCAGTGGGTGGAAGATGGGTCTTAAGTTATAATTGAAGTGTTGGGTAACTCTTGGCAAGGTGGTGTGGCGGGGGGTACAGTCCCAAGCTGAGGTGTCCCTTGGATTCACACATAATACTTTCTAGGCCCCAGTCCCCAAAATGACTTGTGTGAGTCCAGTGGTTATTAACGCTTGGTTGTTCCATGGTAAAGACTCTGTTCCTGGCATTTGGACATTTTAATTAGAACCCAAACCTGACCTAGGTGGGGTTGTGCTGATTTATTCCCTGGTTTAACAGTCACATCTTCACATCTTATGATGATATGGAGAAAAAGCAGGAAAAGCCGAGAATATTAAGGTTGGGTGAAAGAAAACTGTTCCAAGCATGTTAAATGGAAGTGATTTTGGTAGTTGTTCCTTGTATGGTTGACAAAATTTATACTTGACAAAATTTACTCTTTCTAAAATTACCATCTGGGGGCGCCTGAGTGGCTCAGGTGGCTAAGCAGCTGACTCTTGATTTCAGCTCAGGTCATGATCTCATAGTTTTTGAGTTCAGAGACCTGAGTTGGGCTCTGTGCTGACAGTGTGGAGCCTGCGTGAGATCCTCCCTCCCTCTCTCCCTCCCTCTACCCCTCTCCGGCTTGCTCTCTTTCTCAAAAATAAAAAAAACATTTAAAATAAAATAACTTCCTCACCAGATCATATGTATTTCTGTATACCTGCCCCACCCCCCCCCCCAAAAAAAGAATAAATGCGTGGTTTGTAAACATATAATTTGAGATAAAATGAGATGAAATCGGTAAGGCAGCCAGGAGGGGGCCTGGCGTGTGCAGGGAGGAGGAGGAGGTACGGAGGGCGAGGGGGGTCAGGAGGAAGCGCCACAGCACACGCTGGCCGGGCTTCTCTGCTGTTCAGGCCGTTCGCTGGATGAGCACAGTTTAGGAGGGCCGGGCGGGCCGTTGGGGAGCAGCAGCTGCGCATGTGCTGAGAGTCCGAAGCGCTTTCCCCGGGGTCTCCCAGGGCCCCTGTGTGAGGAGGGCGGTGGGGCCCCTGGTGCGGTGACGCGGTAGGGCCTCTTGGCGGCAGCGCTTCGGGGCCGAGCGGCTCTGCTGCCGCAGCTCCCCGGGTAAAAAGCCACCCCCAGGGAGCCGCACTCTGACAGTTTGGCTTAACCTGGAGGCAGGTTTTCAGGGATCTAGAGCGGTGGTCCTGAGTCTCTAGTTTGATAACAGTTACCTGAATTGGTTGGTAAAATGCGATTTGGGGCCCAAAATGTCAACAGTGCTGCGGTGGAGAAACTCTGCTGTAAAGTAACCACATGGGTGGTGTTAGGTGTTGTAGTTGAAAGGAGACATGAGATGACAGTTAAGACTGAAAGCTGGAAAACAGCAACATGTATACACAGACCTGCTTCCCGCGCAGGCACGCACAAGGTTGACTCTTGAACAGCAGGTGGGGGTGTGGGGAGGTTGGGGCACCCCAACCCCACAGTCGGAAAATCACATACAACTTTTTTCCCCAAAACTTAACTACTAAGAGCCTACTGTGACGGGAAGCCTTACTAATAACATAAACCGTTAACACATATTTTGTATGTTACATGTTTCTATATATTCTTACAAAAAAGTAAGCTAGAGAAAAGAAAATGTTATTAAAGTCATAAGAGAAAATACATTTACATTACTGCATTTTTGGGGGAAAAAACAAATAAGTGGACTAGTGCATTTATTTTTATTTTTTTATGTTTGTTTATTTTTGAGAGAGAGAGCATGAGCAGGAGAGGGCAGAGAGAGAGAGAGAGAGAACCAAAGAGGGACTAGGTGTGTGCACAGAGCCCACCACTGGGCTTTTAACTCAACAAATGCACATCATGAATTGTTAGTCAGATAAGCTTTAAACCAACTGAGCTGCACCAGGTGCCCCCGGATTCAGTGCATTTACACACACACACACACACACACGTATTTATATATATATATTTATATGGAAAAAGGGTCAAAAATTTAGAAGATTGCAGATTTAAAATGTTGAAGTAGATGGAATAAAGATTTTAAAAATCGAAGGACTGCAGGCAAAAGGGAAAAAAGTAAGAAAATAGTAATGAGACTAAGAAAATAAAAGGCAATTTCTGAAGAAATAGTAAATGGCAAAATAAGGATCCCTTCCCCCCAAATCAGGACACTAAAAACCACAATGCTGTGTCAGTAACATGGTAACTATAAGATTATTTAGAAAATACAAAATGTTGCTGGATAGAGACATCTGCTCCAAACCTACCTGGAGATGCGTGTTGACCAAGCATGCCCCTGTCTGCTCCCAGGCGGGAGCAGTTCCGCCCTTATACACTCCAGACATATTCTGCACACCTTACTTCACTTGTCTTCTTTATCTTCCCAAACCCGTGGTCACTCCTGTTACAAAACCCAGGCCCTGCGGTATTGCTCGTCCAGCCTCTCCCAGGCCCACCTTCCCCACGCTGCACTCCATTCTGCAGAGCACCAGCCCATTCCTGCACACCCTCCCCAGAGCCTCTGGACAAGAGCCCAGCATCTTCCTAACCTGTCCTTGTGACCGGTGCGGGTCACCTGTGTTTGAAGTCTGTTTTACAGTTTTAGGTCTTGCAGTGTCCAGACCCTCCAACTACTGTTGGTCTTGAACAAGACCATTTAACACATCTTTCTTTGTTACTATGCTTTCCTACTTAGTGATTGCACTATAGTGGTTCAGAGAAAGAAAGCACATTATCAAAGTCTCTTCTTTTTAAAAGTAAAAGTTTCTCATGATATTTTTATTAAATAAGACCCATGGTTTGTTTTCTTCCTTTCTTTCCTTTCTTTCTTTTCTTTCTTTTCTTTCTGCTGTCAGCCCAGAGCCAGACATGGGGCTCATACTCACAAAACCGTGAGATCTTGACCTGAGCTGAAATCAAGAGACACTTAATCGACTGAGCCACCAGGCGCCCCAAGATTCATGCCTTTCAGTATCCAAATAACATAAAAAAAAAAACTAATGTAGAATTAACTAAATCCAGATACTCAAAATAAAGTCACCTGGGGACTTAATCTTTGCTTTCTTAAAGGAAACTATTTAATTTTCTATAACACGGTTTATTTTTTTATTTTTATTTTTTTAAATTTTTTTTTCAACGTTTATTTATTTTTGGGACAGAGAGAGACAGAGCATGAACGGGGGAGGGGCAGAGAGAGAGGGAGACACAGAATCGGAAACAGGCTCCAGGCTCTGAGCCATCAGCCCAGAGCCTGACGCGGGGCTCGAACTCACGGACCGCGAGATCGTGACCTGGCTGAAGTTGGACGCTTAACCGACTGTGCCACCCAGGCGCCCCAACACGGTTTACTTTAAAAAGTGCTGATCTTACATTGGAGGGCTGACTGCATCTTGTGCCATGCTTTACTGCTGGGATTTAAATTTAACTGGTGACCTTTCACTGCTTTTTCATTTAATGTCACCTCCTGGGCAAGATCACCTACTTGCTTTGCACAGTAGGGTTAAAAATCCTCTTCATACAAATTTCCTATCCTGTCGGGAATTCCTCTCCAACAGGCTGTGTAATTTAGTAGACAGAGAGTGTGGCTTTGAAGCAGGAAGAGAAGCACTTCCCTCTTCTTTCTTGTAGCCAAACGCTTTACTTTTAATAAAGATGCAGAGCAGACCAATCCTGGTTATGGTCCTCTTCATCCAACTCAGGAACTGTCTCCAGGCATGTAGTGCATTGATGAAGAACATTTAAAAATAAACACATCTTTTTCCATGAGCCTCAAAACCTGAGTGTGTCGTGTAGAGTCCTCTGATGTCCTGATCACTTTTGCCTGCTCCGTTTTCCTTCCGCAGTTCAGTGGGGACTGCCCACCGTCTCCGCGGCTGGTGTCATCGGCATGCTCAGCGCCGTCGTTGCCAGTATTATCGAGTCTATTGGGGACTATTACGCCTGTGCAAGGCTGTCCTGTGCCCCGCCACCTCCCATCCATGCGATAAATAGGTACGTTCCTGAGAAACTTGAGTTCTTCCTTGGGCCCCGTGCCTCCTTACTTGGCTCTTTGGTTAATCATGGAGAAGACTTTCCAAGACTTTCAGCATGGAAGCAGCTGAGCATCAGGGCTCTTTGTTGGTTGGTTGTCTTTGGACAAGTCCCTCCCCCATTTTGCTCTCCTTTTCCTCATCTGTAGCATGGAGCGCAGTCCCCACCCTTCCTTCCTCAGTGATGGTCACGTAAGATGCTCTTTCTGAGACCGTGCCAGACCCTAAACTCACCAGAACAGAGGCGAGACGCTGCCATTGTTCTTTGCTTGATTTGGGGTCAGGGTTGTATGTCCTTTTTGATTTCTTGTTTTCCTTACTGTTCTTAAGGGTAAATACTGTGTCATCTGTTCACAATTACAATTCCTAGAGAGACCAGAAGAGCAGGAATAGGTGAAATCTGCAGTACCTAGAGACTTATGGGCAGGGGGGTTTATCCTCTCAGCATATCTGGTCTTCACGTTCTGGAAGCTAGGAACGAATTGGACCCTGAGGGGTTGCAGAAAAGAGCACAGAAGGCCCCCTTGCCCAACTAACTGTTGCCCTTCCGGAAGGGATTGTGTGAGATGAGATCCATTGGGCTGGTGTCAGCATGTTTTGCTTTGGTTCTGTTAGCATTCATAGTCTTGGTTCTTATAGCTTTCTCCCACGGGTGTTGCATATGATTGAGCTACTTATATATTGATTCTTTAAAAAGTTCCAGTGTGACAAAATTACAGAGCATTTCCTTCCTGATGAAACTATGTATTAATAGTAAAGGAATCAAATCAGTGGACAGCCCATACTTGTCTCAGATCCCAACAAATGGCTGTTTTCTGGCTAAAAGCCTTTCATTTGGAATGATTTTTAAACACCTGTGTCTAATGTGTGGCTCACAGAAGTGCTTCTCACAGTTGAGTGAGCATGGGGGGTCCTGTGAAAATGCAGGTTCTACTTGAGCAGGTCTGGGAGGCGGGCCTGAGACTCTGCCCTTCTGACCCTTCCCAGGAGTGCAGAGGCTCCCCACCTGTGCACACCGCCTTTGGATTATAGCCACTTGGAGAGTATTCCAGAGTGTTTCCCGCATTGAATGAATGTTTCTCTTTCCCCCATTCCTTTACGTTTTAGGGGGATTTTCGTGGAGGGTCTCTCCTGTGTTCTCGATGGCATATTTGGTACTGGGAATGGCTCTACTTCGTCCAGTCCCAACATTGGAGTTTTGGGAATTACTAAGGTACAGATATTTTTCTAATTAAATGGTTGGGCCTCTGGTGTTGATCCATTTCATCATTTGGTCTAACCACTGTGAATTCCAAAAGGAAGGCTTCTGATTCTGAGATCATCTTCCCACCCTGCTCCCCAATCTTTTTCTCATTGATAGGTTTCTGAAATGCTGATGGAGGTCTCCCTCCCTTGGCTGCCCCGGTAGCCAGGCACTCAGTGTTACCATTCCCTCGTGCATTCTACAAATACTAAGTCCCAACCCTGTGCCAGGCTATTGTTCTAGACACTTGGAATGCGTCGGTGAATGAAAAAAAAATCCCGTTGTCAGAGTTTACATTCTAGAGAGGGGAAGATCAACAATAAACAGTAAGCATAGTTAGTATGAGAAAAACCTGGGGCAGGATGGAGGTATCGGCAGTGAAGGGGAGTAAGTCAGGCTCAGCCTCACCTGAGATGACCCTGAGCAAGCACCTGAACAGGGCAGTGGAGGGAGTGATGGAGATGGACCTTCAGGCCAGGGACGCGGCCAGGGTGAAGCCCTATTGTGAGAGCAGGCCCTCATGCTGCTGATCAGCAAGGAGGCCAGTGGGGCAGGAGCAGAGTACGGGGTGGTGAGAGCAGTTGACGCCCTCCAGGTAACAGGACGAAGTCACACAAGCCCTGTAAGCTGCCAGAGACAGGAGAAGGGGGTGCCCTGGGCTTGGCTCTGTCAGGGTATTTTTTAAGGCTCACTTGCCCTGTTACGAAGAGAGTGGACTTTGGGGTCAGGGGAGGAGGTGGAAATAGGAGACAGCACTAGTTCTAAATGTGAGATGATGCCAGTCCTTAGAGGAAAAAAATCAGCCTTACAGTAAAGAATTAATGTGATTTTCAAACCACAGCACCAGAGTCCTTCTCTTTCAGATGAAATCTGATGCGGAGTTAGTGGATTTGACAAGCTACAGCAAGTCTCCAGGCTGAGCAGGGCCTGGGTCCGGAGTCCGACTCACCCCTCCAAATAGACACGTGACCAGGGGCTGCCCCACCCCACAATCCGGCTTCTGTAAGGAGCCTGCTCCTAGGCCTTCCAAATTTATTGCTAAGTTCTGCATCCCAGCTGCCCTGGGCCAGAGTGCGTCGTCTGCCAGGCTGCACCCTGGCTGCTGTACTCTGGGCAGCTAGAGACAGTTAGGACCTGCTCACCGTCTGGGATGGCCTGTGTGAGCCACAGGTCCCCCTCACCTGAGCCCTCTATCCTGAGAATTTAGGGGTGAGCTGCAGCCTTTTAGAGCTATCTGACCTCTGTAAAATTAGAAACCCATCCCCCGCCCCCTGGAGGATTCTGTAACCAGATAAAAAGAAACCAGACACTAAGTTTGGTTAATCTTGACTACAAATCCAGGTGAGCGGGAGCACACAGTGCACACCTGACCTGTTCATTTTCCTGTACGTGGGCGGGACCATCACAGAGCTCGGGCTCAGGGCTGCACACAGCCCTGCCTGCTACTCCTCACAGGCTGTGCTGGGTCCTGTCACTGCCATGCTAGAAGCAGGTGCCGACCACACAGAGCTAAGGGCCCTTTAACCAGTTTGCTGCCGTGGCCCAGTAGACCTGTAACTAATCTGAAATATCATAGCAGTAAAATTGTTACAGATGGAGGGACTCCTAGGGCAAAGCGGTTTAACAAGCCAGCTCCCTTTCTGCACCCCTTTAGAACGAGCCTCACAAAACTTAACCCGGGTCACTGTAGGGAGTAGGTGGTGGTGCTCATTGAGGCTCCCTTCTGAAATGCGACTGAGGTGGTTGGGGGAGTAATTTCTTTATTACAGTTTGAATGGTGCGAGCTTATTCTGAAAAGGCAACCTGCCAGCACTTTTTAATGAGCTAATTGATCTTTCTGAATCCCGTTGGATTAGTATCCCCGGGCAAGGGCGGCATCCGTTCAGGGGCCTGGAATTGGTTTTCATTGCTGACTTCACTAGAGGGATAATTGAGCTGTCTGCACAGCTGCATTGGGGTGGGAAATGGGACTTGGAGCAGATATTTCTTTTTGGCCCCAGCCATACAGCTGATGGAAGGTCCCTGTTCCAGAAGAAAGGCACCAGCTGGAGGCTGTGTTCTCATCCAGCTGAAGGACTTGGGACAAGTCCCTTTTCTGAGAACTCTCAGCTCTGAAATCCTACAATTCTAGATCAAGATCTGTGCTGTCCAGTTTAATAGTAGCTCCATGTGGCTCTTTTAAGTTAGTTGAAATAAGAAATTCAGTTCCTCAGTTGCACTAGCCACATTTCAGGGGCTCAGCAGTCACGTGTGTCTAGTGGCTGTCAGTGGGCAGCACTGATACAGGACATTTCCATCCTTGTGGAAAGTTCTAAGGGACAGCAGTGGTGTGGGCCATTGTGTGAGACTACCGTGGCCTACAGAAAGAGGGTGAACTCTGGTTCTTCCAAAGGATCTGTCTCCCATTTCCTGGCAGCTCTGACATTTGTTATCCTTTATCCAGTTATGACGGTCCCTGTACATGGCAGTTCTAACCTATTTGATTAGGAGTTGAGGATGCCAGCTACCCTGTTGTGTTCAGAAGCCCTCGGGTTGGATTCCACGTACTTCTCTGCTCAGTGTGTTCCAGTGTCTGTCCCACAAAGAGAGATGGCGTATCAGGGTGGGGAGGTGACTGTTTTGGATTCCAGCCCTGGTCCCATCACTTTCTCTCAGTGTGACCGTGGACAGGTTACATCACCTCCCTGAGTCTCCATGCCCTTGTCTACAAAGCCAGGCGTTGCAATTAATAAATTGATGTAATGCACTTAGCGCAGTCTGGCACAGTGTAGATGCACAGTAAGCACCAGCTAGCATCCTTGATATTTAGCCCTAAGTTTGTTTCTAGGGACAGAATAAATACCACCTCTCCTGACAGTGCAGTCTCTTTGGAGGTGTCCAGAGGAAAGTCATTTCTCCTGTGCTGCATTCCACACTGTCGAAGACTGGAAAGCCAGAAATGCAGTGTCAATATTTTGATGGCCCTAGAGGCACAGAGTTCAAGAAAGAAGTCAACTGAGGCAGGGAAGAGATTCCAGGGAGCCAGCAGCAGGGAAGGAGAGGCAAAAGGCTCCGTGTACACCGCACCGGGAGGACAGGGATTAGGGCTGTGTTTCTGGTGTTTCAACCAGAAGTGTGTAATAGGCATCAGTTAATAGTCATTGAACAGGAGAATGGCTTAGCTGCTGCCCGTTTGTTTGTTTGCTTGTTTTTGAGTATCTAAGGCAGATCAGCCTTCCATGTATGGTCTTCATATAGGATTTATTGTTTCAAGCAAGGCTGGCCTTGCCCTCCCCCTTGTACATCTGATCCCCTCTGCACAGGTGGCTCCCTGTACCTGGATGCTCTTCCTCCAGGGAACTCTTACTCATCCCTCCCCAGCTCTTCAGAGCTCTTCCTCCCTGCCGGGTGCCCACACAGCATAACCATTGCAGCCGTACAGTTATTTGATCATAAGTTTGTGGCTTGCTCGTCTTTGTATTCCGCCCCCCCCCCCCCCCCGCCAGTCTAACAAGTGCTGGTCACATAGTAGATTCCTAAAAACGTTTGCTGAAAAACAGCAGGCTCCCCTATCATGTAATGCAGCCAAACAGAAGTCATTTTTGCTTGATTCTCCAGTTGGCGTACCCTTTTTCACTGCCTCCCTGCCCTGATGACATGTGGGGGGAGCGGTAGATTCTGACGGCAGAGCCTGGGCTCCAGGGTCCGCTGTGCCTGCTTATAGCCGGACAGCCAGCCATCCCTTCGTTGGCTCAGTAAGATTCTACTCTGATTCTTAACCACCTGACTTTTGGGCCCTGTTGGAAGCTCCAGACCAGCACCACCCAGCAGAGCATTGTGCGGTGTGGGACGTTCTATGCACACCTGTGCCATTCTGTGTGGGATCTGCCAGCCGCACGTTCCCGTTGAGCACTTGAAATAGTGGCTGGTGCACCTGAGGGACTAAATCTGAAATTCCATTTCATTTTAGTTTAGCAGCCATCTCCTCACTGTAAGTCATCCTTCTGGAACCTCTTTTATCAATTTATATCCTCAAGGTATTTTCCTGGGAAAGGCAGCACACAGTGCAGGATTCTGGAGCCTGGTGCTGGCTCCACATCCCACTTCTGCCCAGGCAGAAGTTTCTAGAAGGCAGAGATCAGGTTGAACAGAGAGGAGACCATGTGGGAAATATTATGGTTCTGCAAAGACCCAGTGTGGGGGGGCAGACCTTTGGCATCAAGGAAGGCTTTTAAGAGGAGGTGGCATTTGGTAGTGTTTTGAAGGATGTGTCTAGAACCGGCCAGAAGGGGGATGTGGGAAAGAGTGTCCAGGTAGACAGGCCTGGGGATGCCTGAGAAAGGGGTTTTATTTCCCAAACACCAGAAGATTAAAGGGGGGAGGCACTGACCTCGCGAATCACTGTGTGAGAAAGGTCATTCTGCACAGCAGACAGGACAGATAGGTAGAGGAAAGGCTGAGGCCACAAGCCCAAGTGGGAGGCTGTCCTGTAGCCTCATGCTGGTCAGGCACTGTTCAAACTGTTTTACACCTTGTCTCATTTAACCCTTAAAAGCTCGTGGTGTGTCATTCTAAAACGAGGATCCTGCCACCCAAAGAAGCCAAGTGGCTTGCCCTGGTTCCCCGGTTGGAGTGGAGTGGGGTACAGACCAGGCGAGGGGCTGAGAATCCACACTCCTTGGCCTCTAGGCCGTGTCACCTCTCACGGGGAAGGAGAGGAGGAGGGGAGGAGGTTCCAGAAATAGTTGGGACTCTTGTCTGATTCAAGGTGTGGGGAAGATGGAGACAAGTGAATTGCTTTTGGGTGGGGTAACTTGATAAAGGGTAATTCCAAGAACCTGGAAGAGAAAAGCAGGAATAAGCCTAGTTTTTGCATTTGACGTTAGAAGGTCACCCTGGCCCTTGACTGTAATGGTATTTGAAAGCCCAGACCTGAGAGCAGGAGCAGGTCTACCCTGAAGTGACATCACCCAGGGAACAGGGAGCAAAGGCTGGGCCCTGGTGCCACCTTCTTCCAGGGGAGGGGAGGGAAGGAGGAAGAGGAAGAGGGGAGTTGGTGGTAATCTCTTTACTCTGGGTGTCTTTAGAGGGAGGAATTGTGTCCTGAGAGCCATCCTCCTTGTAAAATGAGACATCTCTCTTAACCGAAAGTTTTGTAGTTTGGGGCTTCTGTCACATTTGCCCCCGAGGGGCCTGTGTGGAAATTTGTGCAGAACTGGCGGTGAATGCCTTCTGGTGTGTTCCTCAGGTCGGCAGTCGGCGGGTGATTCAGTACGGTGCGGCCCTCATGCTGGCTCTTGGCATGATCGGGAAGTTCAGCGCCCTCTTCGCCTCCCTCCCGGATCCGGTGCTTGGCGCCCTCTTCTGTACTCTCTTCGGTAAAATCCCATTTCCTTGAGAGCCTGTCTCCTCTCCTCCCTTTCACAGTTGCTCAGGAATCCCTTTAGTAAGATGGGAGGTAATAATTAATACGTTTCCATTTAAAAGTACGCAGGGAATACTCCTTCAAAACATAAAAACATCAGTCTCTGAGTTGAATTTATGTTAAAGGTAGAACCAAGTGTAGAATACTTATGCTAGGAAAAATAAGATGACCTTAATCTTTAATTGGTGTATCTAATTGCTTTAACTCAGATATCTTCTCTGAATGGCATTTACAACTGACATGAACTCTGTGCCATTCGGCTGTGATCAGGGCCCAGATCTTCGGGTGGGTTTTCCAGTTTAATCAGGATGTCTGCATAGAGGTTTTAAAGGGCAACCAATGACCTTAGTTTTCTGCTTGGTCTAAAGAAAGCGAATGTGATGTTTGTGTCCCTGTGTAAGCCCAGATGGTGCTTAGGCCAGGAGTCATTTGGTTCAGAGACCCAGGTGGTCACATTCCGACCCTGTCCTGTCACTGTTCTGTCTCCCAACTTGTTTCTGGCGGGACAGAGGAGGGGCAGGGTGGGGAGTCTGTGTCCCCTCCATCGCCCATCTGTACTGAGCTTAGTGCTGCCCGCCAGCTGATGTTTTTCTCTCCAGGAATGATCACAGCTGTTGGGCTCTCCAACCTGCAGTTCATCGACTTAAATTCTTCCCGGAACCTCTTTGTCCTGGGATTTTCAATCTTCTTTGGGCTCGTCCTTCCAAGTTACCTCAGGCAGAACCCTCTCGTCACAGGTAAGGAAAACTGGCCACAGCCACCAGCTCAGAGAAGACTTTGGAACTTCAGGAATTGTCTCCGTGAACATTGGTCCATGTGTCTATCTCATTTGAGTCTTGTTTTGCCACAGCTTATCTGGAAACCCTTCGCGCTTCCGGCATGAGCTGGCATGTGCCCGTTAAGGGCTCTTTATTTACAGGGACCCTGTCTTTTGGGAGAATGTGAAAATGTAGAATTCAAAACCCAGCTTCATAGACTTTCAAGTACATGTTTTTCTCCTGAGATTGTAACTACTTTGAATTCAAGATTAACCCTTTTAACACCTTTTTAATACCCTGATGTCATGAAGAATGAACAAAGGGGAAC